AAGTGGCGCTGTGGCTCAAGTGGTAGAGTGCTAGCCTTGAGCTGAAGAGCTGAGGGAGAGCGCTCAGGCCCAGAGTTCAGGCCCCACGACTGGACCAAAAAAAAAAAAAAAAAGAATTTTTCTTGTGATATCTAGGAAAACAATTTACTTTGGTTGTGAAAATTAATGTGGCTCACACTTTGTGTTTTGATTCAATAATAAGAATTTGGGGGAAAATGTTCTAAGGAGTTCCAATGACAGAAATTCCATGTTTTTTGCAAAGGATTAGTTATCTCAAAGTTGAACAGTTAGAAGTTTAACTAGAATGTGTGTCTGTCTCTTAATGTTAAAGGATCATGGTTTTTCTGAGATCTTAAAACCATTTGCATGTCTGGCTTGACCTGTGAGAAGATCGGAATAAATTCTAGAGCAAGCAAAACAAATTTAAACTGAATGTCAAGGTTTTGTGCCCAAGAAAACAGTATTTATGTGCCCTTCTATCATTTGCTGATCTGAATGTAATATAATAGGCAATAATGACAGAAGATAACCCTTGTTTCCTGATGGGCAGTAATGGCAGATCATGTGCACAATCCGGTTGTCAAAATACTTTACCAAACCTAAAATTAGAATAATGATTCCATTAGTTTTCCCAAGCTCTAGTAGCACATGAGTCACCCTAGAGCCATTCATGTCCTCCCCCAACTTCCTTTATTCAGTAACTGCTATTTGACAGACAATGCCATTTTGATGGTAGTAATGCCTACTACCTAGAACAATCTAGTTCTTGCATTCTTTGTTCATGAAGTGCAATGTGATGTGTTGTTGGGAGCGTAGGGAAGGCACTACAGGAATGAACAATAATAGAGTTGTCTTGGCTTCCTACACCATGCCATTATGGAGGAAATGTTTTGATTTTTAGTAAGTTCCCACACTATAATATTTGCTGATGACAAAATCAGCATAAGCGGTAGCTAAATTAGAACCATGCTAAGAAATTACTAACTCAGAATTCTGCATTATAAAATGAGCACAGACCTATCTGCTTTGACCTGCCCCTCTTAAGCTCTTTGTGATTTTTAGTATCAAAGCAGTGCATTTGATACTATGAACCTATTAAGAAGAAAAGCTTAATTTCTGCGTAGCTGGTTAAAGCTTAAAAAACTCACAGAAGGTACCAACACATTGGAGATTCAGCCCTAACAGTAATCAGAAATCACCAATAAATCATCAGTACTTAAATTTTAAAAATCTAGTTCCAAACAGGTAACCAACACAAAGTAAATTTTGACTATGTGCTCTTCAAAGACCACAAAGCATCACCACAAGACCACAGGAACTCATCTGAGATACCACATTAGCATGCAATCGAAATTCTAAAACAAAACAAGCTGCCATTATTTTACGGGAAGTTAAGTGGCAGCATACTCACTGGACTGTAATGACAACAGCGATGGCAGTAAAGCTCACGGCAGAGATGAAGGCAGCTATGGCTGCAAGTGCGATTTTTGACAAATCACTGTCAACAATGCTCTGAGTCTTCATGGACTTTTCTCCACACCGCTCACCAAAGTAATCATGATGGCAACTGCAAACAACCCACATTTAAAAATTACAGTTACTGAGAAACAGTCTATGTACTTTAAGGTTATGACTGGAAGTCAGTTAATTCCAACCCTTTTTAAAAAAGTTATGTCATCTATTTGTCTTTCAAATTCCGAGACATAGAAGGCATTCTAGTTAAAGATCTATTAGTGTAAGAACAAGTTGAGATTAGTTTGGGTGTGATAGTCCAAGAAGACACACCTTGTCATTCTTTGTGCTTCGTTTATGACAGCTGAGGACTTCAATGACTTGTTAGTCAGTCAGTGGATTGTACTACCATTTACTGTGGTTTTGCAGGGATGGGGGAAGGGATGAGGGAAATTCTATATTTTTTAATGGTTCTATTTTAACTGGTTACATAAGTACATATACAGTCTTGGTCCATAAAGCCTAAGTATTTACCATATGTTCCTTTAATAAAAAATGTGCTAGCACTTGGCTTTCACCTTGAAGATAGGAGGTTTCAGATATGGCAGAGGAAATATGGGAATTTTATTAAACTTTTCAAACTTACTTGCATGTTACTGCATCCAAGTTCTCTATATATTTGCATTCTCCATGAATGCAGAAATTTTGAAATTCTGCATCACATGGATTTTTCTTCTTTTTGTTTCTTCTATTTTTTCCGTTTTTGCCTCCTTTTTTCTTTCTTTTTGGTTTATGTGAAGACTTCTCACTTTCTGTCTTGTTTTTCTTGGGTTTAACAACCTGTTCAACTGGAGAAAAAAAAGACACAAGATTTATTGTCAATAGTCTCTCTTCTTCTTAAAAATCCTGTATATACATGAGACAAAGAAATCATGAGAGTCAGAACTCATGGGAGTAACACTATGCTTGTCTCATTATTGAACAAAACACACACAATCAACTTACATAGAGCATATCTAGGCTGTATCTGAACAACTTCATTATTTTATTGGTTTATGCTCATATTTTGAATTAATTTGTATTATTATTAGTTATTGCTAATAGTAGTTTCATGTCTATGAAAAACCATTAAACATTTCTAATAATTCCTCTTTTTGGGTGTACCAGTACTGCTCCAGGCTGGCACTCTACCACTTTAGCTACACATTTATTCCCAGAACATTGCTGGTTAATTGGAGATAAGAATCGTTCAGATTTGTCTGCTCGGGCTCCTTTCAAACCATGATCTTCAGTTGAGAGCCTCCTGAGTAGCTAGGATTACAAGCATGAGGTACTGGCTCCCAGTGAATTTCTAAGGCAAGCCAAGTTTTTGGTAGTGAACTTAATCCAAATCCTGGCATTATTATCCATAATGTATGGATGAAGGAACTGAAATTCAATGAAGATAACTAATTTGTACCAGAACAAGCAGCTAGAAAATGAACGTGCAGGGATATCAAAACCTATTGCATTTCCGCTAAACTAACTGTCTTTTCTCTTAGATAAGGGAATGTCATCAGTTAAAATGGAAGCTGAGGTATATTTTTTTATTTTATTTATTCATACTGGTCTTGTGTTCACTCTGATAGTTAAGGCTTAGTAGATAATACTTGAAGATGCAAAAAACTAATCTGTAATTTTCAATTTTTTCCAGTCCTTAGTTACAATAAATCATAAATGATATTTTCCTTGGGCTGGTTCTTTGTTGTGGTCTATTTGAGAATAGGTCACCAATATTTATGTTCCATGTCTCAGTTTTACTTTGAATGATCAAGCCTACAAAATTTTGTCAAGTTTGCTCACACACTAAAAATGGGAAAGTTTCCATTTAGTGCTGTGCACCAGTCTCTTCATAGGTTTATATATTCAAGTATTTAGCAAACAGAGAACCCAGGGAGAAGAGGGGAAAAATCATAAAGATCATGTGACACCCATTAAATTGAAAGACAGTGAAAGTTAACAAGGGTATCAAAGATAGAACCTCTGTGATCAAGGGAATGACTAACAAATATTATGCATATTTAGAGAGGTTATAATAACAGATATCAAGTTAAAGGTAATGTTGAATAAGTGGCCCTAAGATTTTTACATTGAACTTTCTCTGGTGAATACAAAAGCATCAATTAAGAATAAGTCCTCCAGGCTGCAATGCTTGGTAAGAAATGTACGCATTATCCTGCCCATGCAATTGTAACCCCTCTGTACAGTATGTTCACAAATAAAATAAAATAAAATTAAAAAAAAAAGAATAAGTCCTCCAAGAGAACATTTTAAAATGAGTATTTCTGCCCTTCATTGGATAGATTACAAATCTCAGAGGGAAATAAGTCACTACGCTGAAGTGTGGCAGATGTTATATTCACAGATATTTAATGGAATAGCATGTGTTAAGAATTCAACAAGGACTGGAAAAGATGGGGGCAAATGACAGAAGGAGTGACACATTGATACACTGATAGAGATGACTTGTTATCATAATCTGACTTACTAAACTGTAACCTCTGCACAGCTACTTTAAATATATGTGTGTGTGTGTATATATATTAAGTTCAACAAGTAGTCTCATTATGCTTTATAATGCAGTGTTGAGCACTTGCCATTTGCCCAATTGTTAATTTATTGGCCTTCAGAATGATTAATTTTAAAACATCTGTTGTGTGTGTGTGTGTGTGTGTGTGTGTGTGTGTATGTATGTATGTGTGTTGTGGGTGCTTGGGCGCTGTACCTGAGCAGTTTTTGCTCAAGGCTAGAGCTCTGCCTACCACTTAATTGAAGATAAGAATCTTATGGACTTTCCTGACCTCTTCCTTCAAACTTCAACATAATAGAAGAAAAAGAGTGTTATCTTTCTTTGGTATTCTCATTTAAGGAAAATATCTTTTTTTTTTAAAGACAAGTAAAGCAAATGGTAGAGGGAGGGGAGATTTAAAAAAAAATCAAGATTTTAGCAACATAAAAATCTATAGGCCGAGTCCAGTGCTGCTAGTTCACACTTGTAATCCTAGCTACTCAGGAGGCTGAGATCTGAGGCTCAAAGTTCAAAACCATCCCGGACAGGAAAGCTTGTGAGACTGTTATCTCCAATAAGCTACCAGAAAAATGGGAAATGACACCGTGGTAGAGCACTAGCCTTGAGCTGAGGAGCAGAGGGACAGCACCCAGGCCCAGAGATCAAGACTCACAATCAAAACCAATAAAAAATCTATAGTACTTTTTTTTCTTTAACATTCCTAGAAGGCATGATTAGTAGTTTCCCAAGGTTTGGCAATTGAAGGCTAAAGTTCAATTGTGTCCTGACTCATTTTTTTCTTTCTGTTTCCTTCTTTGTGTTAAAATGCAGTTGTTTGGGGAAGAGGGAACAAATGCTAAGTTAAACAAGGAGCAGATTGTGACAGTTAATGACTACCTGTGCAGCCAGAATGGAAGTCATGTGGCACAATGGGGAAGAACATAGTATCGGAAATCAACATACTGGAGTTTTAAATCTGGCTTAGCTGCTGCTACCTGTGTGCTACTTTGGGAAGTACCATCTTTTTCAGCATATATCTTTTACAGCTATAAAAGGAGAACAACTAAGTTGTTAGGAAGATTAGACATAGTGCACCTATTAATGCTCTGGATATAGAGGAACTCTTTAGAACTTATGGTATGTAATTGACATGCAAGCAGAAAAACCACTAGAAACATCCATTGGAAGCAGCTTTCAGATAAACCCATATCACAGAGACTCCATTTTTCCCTCTGTGGTCTACTCACCTCTGACTGAGTCATCTACAATATAGCCAGATACTTGTGGTTCATTGTCATACTCTTCTGAATAGTCATAGTCGCTCCCAGAGGACAGTTCACTACTGGAAGGCTTTTCACTCACAGGAGAAATCTCCCTTTCTAAGGACATGTCACGTCTTGAGGAAACCTCAAGTCCATCAGCACTGTGGAAAAACAGTTCCCCTGTCCCAGAGGAGGTCTCGTTGGTGTCCAGTCCAGCAGCATAATGGCCTTCAGAGAAAGAAGAGGCAAGGAAGGTGAACTGTGGTACTTTTCTCAAAGCCAGCTAGCTGTGTGAGGTACAAGTGTTTATGTTCTGATATCAAATTGAACATTGTGTGTGCTTGAGTCATTTATGATAGCAACTTTACATTCTGCCAAGAGTCTTTTACCCAGCTTTCCTTTTCCAGATAGTCTATACTAGTTTCCACATTTAAAAAAGAAAAACAACAACAACAACAAAAGACTTGCCTGATGAATCCAACATAATCACTTATCTGGGAATGGCTAAATTTTGCCATCACTTCACATTCAGATTATTTGTGTTCTATCCCGTCCCATCTTGATAAGTTCTACCTATGAGTGACAGATTCTTACCAGGTGTATGTGTTTTAAAAGCTTATGTACATGCAAAGTAAATTGTGGCTGACAATAACAATTACTACAGTAATAACCAGTGATCTTCCACTCTTGTTTCTACACAGTCAAGTTGAGCACTACGTAAGACTTTTTGAGTTTCAAGCCCTTGTTATATCTTGATTAACTTAGGGAGAGCAACAGGTGGGGTTTTAGTTCATTGGGACAACTGTAAGTCCTAGTAGAAAGGTAAAAATAAAATCATCTGACCGAGGAGATAGAGACCCAGGAACGAATCACTGATCCTGTGTTTTGTGTGCCTGTGTGTGTGTGTGTGTGTGTGTGTGTGAATCTGTCACACTTAAGGCTGAGATCAAATGCTCCCTGAGGTCCCATCAGCTAAAAGTACAGGCTTCTCGTCTTGTCCCCTGTCTCATCCTCTCTCCCCCCGTGGAGTCACCGGGCTGCCCGGGGACACATGGTTTGTGTGCTGGTTTTGGCAGAAGCCGCCGCGCGATCCCCAGCAGGTCCTCACCTGAGCAGTGGATCAGGAGCCACAGCACCACGGGCGCCTGAGGCGGCAGCGAACTTCTCATTGGTCCTCCGGATGGCGGTGTCTGGGTCCCCAGGAGCAACTCGGACGCAGGCTACAGATGGGAAGAGGAGGGTGATGCGATGCAACCGAGGGGAGAAGAGGGTGCGGGCGCCGGCGTGGAAGCCAAGCCCGGCCCGGCTCGCGGGAGTGGGGCAGCCGGCGCCCTGGGCCACCAGCCTGTGGATCTCGGGTTATGGCTCGGCTGCAGCCAGCGAGGTGCGCGGAACATTCCGCAGGCGCGGCGCGCACCTGCCGCTTTATAGACCGGCCGGGGAGGGAGTCACCGCCCGGGACGTCACACTGTGCGGGCCCAGGGCGGAGGCGGGAGTCCCTACCCCAGCCCCACGCGGGGCCCCACCTCCCTCCCGCCCTCCCTCCCGCCCGCCCTCCTTCCCTCTCTCCTGCATCCACTGCGCCGGGAGGAAATGGAAAGCAATCTCTGGCTGGGAGGAGAAACCTTGTCCCATTGGAATAGCAGAGCAGGTTGTGGGAGCCGGGAGCCAAATGCCCCCATTCCACAGCATCGTAAAAGCAAGACACAGCGCACACCTTTGTGTTTAATTTGGTCGATCTTGGGTTGATTTTAGATTTACCACAGACAGGGATTAAACTGAAATGTTCTATACTTGAAGAGCAAGGATGGTGGCGCAATGTGACAGTGTTTATTTACTTATTTATTCTCTCACTGTCTTTCTCTGTGTCTCTGTGTCTCTATTCTCCAGTCTCTGTCTCTCTGTATCTTATTTATTCTCTCTGTCTCTGTGTCTGTCTCTCTCTGTCTCTGTCTCTCTCTCTCCTCTGTTTCCCTCAACACCCAGCCAGTACTGGGGTTTAAACTCAGGGCCTGGATGCTATCCCCCCCTTTTTTTTTCTCTAAAGCTGGCATTCTACCACTTGAACCATAGCTCCACTTCTGGGGGTTTCTTTGTGGTAAGTTGGAGGTAAGAATGTCAGGGAGTTTCCTGCTCAGGCTGGCTTCTGATCTCAGCCTCCTGAGTAGCTAGGATTTTAGGTATGAGCCACCAGTGCCATTGTCGCCTGGAGTCTTGAAAGAGAATAAATAATCAAAGTTCCTTAAACGAGGAGAGAGGCTTGTGCGGAGAAGCTGCTTCGGGTTGGATGGGTTGTCTCAGTTAAGGTTCCTTCCCCACCCACTACTGTGAATTGCCAGAATTTCTAACCATCTCCCTGCCATTAATATGGCTGGCCTTCCATCATTGCCATGTTCTGTACTTAGTTTTCTATACACCATCTCAATAACCGAAGGGTCAAACATAAGGCCCCAGCAGACACAAAACCAAGGGAAGCAATTCATAAGTATGATACATCCCAGACGGATTTGATTGATATTTATTTGGGTCTGAAATCTTTCCCCTGCCCTTCTAATAAAGGAATTTGAAAAGAGGGTAGACACTTCATTTCCTGATTGTGCCAGACCAACAACCTTTTCAGGAATGTTGGTTGCAACGCTTTTCTGAGAAAAGCACTGTAGAAGCTTATGTTTTCATGGTTTTATCACTGTGAGTAGGCGACATCGTTCTATACACCTAGTAGGATGAAGTAAATTAGCCATCAATCTCACCTCTTCTTCGATTAATACTTGCCGCAAGCGAATTATGTATATTTGTAAGAAGTGAGTGTGGTGAAATAGATTAAATGACGATCACCCACAGGCAAGTACGTCACACTTGGTATGGGCCAGATACATAGAAAAACTGCTCTACTGCATTAGTTAAGAGGGCCTCCGAGTGCCACAGAAAAAAGTGCTGATTAATTTGCCTGTAGGTGTCATGGAGAGTTGCTGGGAAGACAGGTCCCTTGAAGGCTTTCCTAGTAGCAAGATGGAAAGATGGAAAGAACACATGACTCAAGGTGTGAGACAGGTGGGAACAAAGCTGGGGATGGCGCACCGCCCATTCCAGGGTGAGGTAGGGGCCTGCACTGTCATCTCTTTGTGGCAGATGAAGTGACTGTGATTCAGAAAGATTCAGAGACTTGCCCACAGATTTTTTTAAGGTGATGGTGGAGATTTCATTTAAGGTACAGGCAGCTGAACTACACTGCTGGGCACTGGTGTGTTCTTTTAGTTGGCCAGTAAATAGTGCTTGTATTTATGATGTACAATGTGATAGTTTGATAATGTGTTTTTATTGTGGCTAACTCAAACTTTTTATTATATGCATTGCCTTCCATTTCACTTTTTATGGAGACATATGTAGGTTGTGCATATTCAGTAATTGCTTAGAATTGTTAGAAATGGCTTCGTTTTCCAATTGTCAATTCAGGAGGAGATAGTTTACATTTTGCAGCACAGAAATTCACAAACGGGGACCCAAGAACATAATTATTAGAATGGGTTTTAAAAATCAATCTCCAATTTCTGTTATACACATTTCACCAAATGCTAAATTACTAACTCCAAGACTCTTCTGAGAGTAGGAATAAAAATGCCTAAATTAAATGAGTCACATGAGATAAGCTATGTAAGCAAGTAGCACAGACCCTACCACCTGTGAATGTGCAGTAAATGGTAGCTAGGACTGTCAACCGTGACTCTGCACTGAGCGTGTTAAAGAACTGAGTGACTCCTCTAATTGGAGCTACTCACATAGCAAGTGAAGTAATCTTTCAATATTTTCAATCCATGAACTCTGTACACAATTCACATGAAGACTAGCCATTTAGGGAACTTTAGGGTGCATCATAGAGTGGTATCATCATATGCATCACAGTGCAGCACCCATTTATGTGTCATGGCATTCTGGAATATGGGCATGAGTAGGAAATCAAATCTATATAAATGTAGGACTATACTCTGCCTTGTGAGGCTGAGACAAAGGAACAATTTAAACAAATTCAAATAGCAAAGCTGCTTCCTTCTGACACATTGATAGTTTCTTCATCTACTCTGAAGTTAAGGGAAGCCCTAACCAATCCTTCATGTTAGGGTCTAGTTGGTGTCCTATTTAAAATGTATAGGAAAAAACTCTTTTTTTGCTAAAAGGTATGCTATAGAACAAAAAGTGTTATAATGCATGTGTTCATATACTGTTCTTAAAGTTTTACAAATATGTTTGGGTATTACATCATGATCATTTTTATGTTAATATACAAATCTCTCACTAAACAATACACAAATCTCTCACTAAAGGAATTCTTCAATGTATACATAACATTTCCTTCTATTGTTAAATACATTTTAATACATTAGCTGATTTTAGAAATCTATAATGTTCTACTTTTCAACGTGATATTTATCCATGTTAAAGAATATTTGTTTTGTTTTCATTTATTTTTAAATGGGAGGCCTTAACTGACTAGCAGTTGGGTCACTTGTTACACAAATACACTATTATGTTAATATGGCTAATGCAGACCAAAGACAGGGGTGAGAAATGCAGAAGTTATGATACCACAGAAATGATACGAACTACATTTACACAAAAATGTGAACCTTCTAGGTATTTCATTTTCCCATCAGATGTATTTTGAGAACTAGGCACTAATCTTCACATTGAAGGTAGAACTTTACACTATTTTTAAGAGCCTTATTTTTAAGGGGAAACATAAGATACAGGGAGCTGATAATGGTGGAAGGGTTTGATGTACAGTCAAAGACAACTCCTACACATAAGGCATTCTTTGTCACTCTAGAAAATAGCAACTGCTGGATAAAATGAAAGTGGGGGGGAATCATCTTATTGAACAACATAGTGTGGTTCTGAGAGAGAGAGAGAGAGAGAGAAATGGACATGGAATGAGGTACAGACCAGATGAAGATCTTCAATTAGATATCAAAAACTGTGTAGGATTTTAAGATATTGTATTTAGAAATTTATTTTACTAGTCATCTTTTGTATACCTCTCTATACACTACTAGCAAAGAGTTTCCTTGAGCTCTCCGAGGACAAGAATTGGTGGATCAGCATTGCTAGAGGGCATTCCCTAATGTGAATTCCATTCTCCTCCATTGATTCATCAGACTTGGGGTGGGGTCCAGACCTGTGTATGTTTTTGTGAGAACTCTCAAGAAAATCTGATGAGCACTCATGATGTGATAAAGAATTACTCTCTTAGGGGATACATAAGTGAGAAAAAAATGAATTTCTGCATTCAGAGAGATAACAAACTAGTGGCCCGAAACACTTTCGTATTTGGAAATTTTGCTGGAACTCCACAGAAAACTTAAACTTGCTGAGCAGGACAGTGAGCTAAATGAGGTGACACCTATCTTATATTAAAAAAAGAACCTAATGTTATGAAATGATTCAAATACAATTCCTGTTGATGGGGATTGAGTCTATTCATACAAATGTGAATAGGTGAAAAAATTCATGTACTTGTTGAAGAACCAATTTTGTTGTCCATGCAGTATTGCATATCTGTAATCCCAGCATTTAGGAGACAGAGACAAGATCCAGAGTTTAAAGCCTGCCTGGGATACATAATAAAACTGTCTCAAAAAAAAGAAGGATAAAAATTAGAGCCAGTTTACCACATACATGCACTGAGTCTAGAGAAAATCATTGTAAGTTCTTACCAATTTGATTCTGGAAGCAAAGCCACTGAAGTGGATATCTTCTTACTCTCATACACTGAATTAGGAGGCATATAAATTTTGGTATGCCATTAATTAACTATAGGATATTTTTCCATTTCATTATTTTAGAAAAAAATCAAAATTCAAAAATAGTTTTTAATCATCAACCAATATAGTAATGAAACAATTGCACCCACATTTTCTGTTCTGTCCAAAAGATAGCTTACTTTCCATTTTACTCTAATTATAACATAATCAATACTGTGTGATGGCCAATTTTTCATGGTTGCCAAACTCTCCTATATTGCCTCTCTTATTACTTAAAAAAATCAATAACTGACATATACCAATAAGCATTGTAACAGTGTTAATGATCCATACTTGTTGTCTTTTCTGCATTACAAGTATAAATAATCTCAGTAAACATGCATTTTGGCAGTACTGAGATTTGAACTCAGGGC